GATAGAGAAACTAAAGACATTGGTGGGGGCCTTGTCTTGTGGCGAGGATATTTCCAGTCGGTCAGGCCCGCAATCGGACGTATTCTCATCAACGTGGATATTTCCACGGGAACGATGTACAAGCCTGGTCGTTTACTGGATCTATGCCTCGAGTTCTTGGGGAAACCAGGGCAGTACAACATCCTCAGCCCAAGGAGCGGCATGCCCGATCGAGAGCGAATTCGACTTCAGCGATTCATATCCGGCATTCGTGTCCTAACCACATATGCTGGAGACCATGGCCGCAAAACACCTCGTGTTGTGAAGAAACTCAGTGCCACGGGGTCGTCCGATCTAACGTTTAGCCTCCGGGATGGCACTTCCTTAACAGTGGCCCAATATTTCCAGACTCTTCTTAACCGACCCCTGCAGTACCCCAATAATATTTGCGTTGAGGTGCGTTGCCTCCATTTCTGTGTCCCAACGTTGCTCGAACCATTCCGCCAAGGTCGGCACTGGGGCTCTCATCCCTCTCGAGCTCTGCGTTGTCCCTCCTGGACAGATCATGAGGAAACAGGTTCCACCTGAAAAGACGAAGGATGTGCTTGACTTTGCAACGAAGAAGCCTCAGGACCGCCTTGCCAGCATCACTGCTGGACTCTCGGTGCGTCACTAGCTCCCCCTATGCAATATTCGTGGCTATCTCATCGTGAGCATCAGGTTCTTGCTTATGGGCAATCCGAGTACGTCCGCCAGTTCGGCATGACGGTGGAAGACACTGCAGGTCCCTTGAAGATCTCGGCGCGAGTTCTCAAGCCACCCAACCTCAAGTACGGGCCGAACAGTCGTCAGCCGACCATCGTAGGGCTGCTCTCCTTCATCATCACACTGCTTACCAGCTTATTCACGATAGACACCTGCTCACGGCGCATGGAACATGTGCGCCAATCATCTTTCTTTCGTCACTGGGTATCTAACTGCGCCGTCAGGGTTGACAAGCGGTTCTGGCGTCCAGCTACCATCGACCGATGGATCGTAGTCGTTTACGAGCGACAACAGCGATTCAATCAACAAGCCGCCCAAGACATGATCCAAGGGCTCCTCACGAGCTGTCAAGATGTCGGTGAGTCATGATATCATTCACTTCTTTGACTATATGGGCTTAAGGATGGTCATCAAGGCATGAGGATGAATGACACCAACCCAATTGTCTCGTGGCAAAACGGCCAAGGACGCATTGCCGACGTAAGTTCGAAAATCTTCGATACCGAGCGTAATGTTGATGTGCATTCTGTGTTGCAGCAACTGCGTGCGGCGGGCAACGACTGTTTCCAGAAAACAAAGCAGCGCCCACAACTCATTGTCGTGGTCCTTCCCGATGGCGGCAACGACATCTACACAGCCGTGAAACAGTTCGTACAACAGTACTCTCTACGATAACCACCTAACCTGTTTCCTACAGCTTCGGCGATGTGACGGTAAGGCCCATGGTAAACTCCCCTTCCTTGATTGTAGCCTTGACCCCCGGATATCTAGGTCGGAGTAGCTACGCAGTGCCTCAAAAGCTCCAAATGCTTCCGCGCGAAGGCACAGTACTATGCAAATGTCTGCCTCAAGTACGTTTACGAACTAGGAACGGTACTACCACTCACAATTTGCCCAGGATGAATGTGAAACTTGGTGGCATTAACACCATCCCTGACCCGCAGTCTGTGACTGCTCTGACCGACCCACGCAACCCGACCATTGTCATGGGTGAGTCACCCGTCTACCTTTGTTTTCGTTGGTGTAATTAATTGGGCGTGGTCAGGCGCCGATGTTATACACCCAGCGCCCGGTTCGGACGGCAGGCCCTCGTTCACTGCCCTCGTGGGTAACGTCGACTCAGACACTGCCAAGTACGTCGCGACAAGCCGCGTTCAGGCATCTCGGGTGGAAATCATCGAAGACTTGCAAGAAATGGCGAAAGTAAGCTGCGGGGTGTCCTCGTGATTTCCTTGATGCTCACATTCGTTTACGACGAAAGCACATCCTCGTGATGTACATGAGGTATCGCCAAAACGCAGAGAAGAAGACCGGCAATGTTGCCCCAACGCGCTTGCTTTTCTACCGAGGTTCGTCATCCGCGTCTCATGACGTGCTTGAATAGCTGATGTGATGGCTAGACGGTGTCTCCGAGGGACAATTCAAGCAGGTCTTGGATATTGGTGAGTTTTTCATTCATCATTCATAAATCAACTCGGTGACTAATTTTCGCCGTGCGCTTGTCAGAACTTCTTGCTTTGAAAAGTATGTTCCGCTCTGCGATTTCTTGCACTCAGTCTGGCTTACCGATCCTTCAGACGCCTGCAAGGAGCTGAAAATCAACCCTTCGATCACAATTATCGTGGTGGCCAAACGCCATCACGTACGTTTCTTCCCATCGAATCCAGGTGATGCCGATCGTAGCGGAAATTGCCCCGCTGGGACGGTCGTCGACCAAGTAGTCGCGCATCCTACCGAGTTCGACTTTTATCTCCAGAGCCACGGAGGCCTGCTCGGCACCAGTCGTCCGGCGCACTATAACGTGCTTTACGATGAAAACAACTTCGGGTGAGTGTGCAATGGCTATGGAGTTGCAGAAACCTGACACCATGTGTTCCTCGCAGGGCTGACGGACTACAGTCGCTCTCATTCGCGTTGTGTCATGTCTATGCACGTTCCACGCGGTCGGTTTCCATCCCCGCACCTGTGTATTGTGAGTTTTTTTCGTCCCTCCATGTTCGCGGTCTCATTGTGTCTTCAGATGCCGATATCGTCTGCTCTCGCGCGAAGAACCACTACGACCCCCAGGGCACCGTTGACTTCTCCGATTCGGCCACTCAAGTGGACTCGGCGCAAGTGGAGGGCGTATTGGAGGCTTTCAAGCGCGGCTTCAAGCCGTTGCACGCCAACATGGCGTCTTTGATGTACTTCTCGTAAGGTGTGGCTCGTCTTCTGTTTCCCCCGCGTGGCGATGTCTTTGTAACTGTTCTCTATTGCTCTGTACTTCAACCGTTGCCTTACTTTGCTATTGCTGTGTGTCCGATACCCACCAGACTCCATGCTAACGTTCTGCTTTGCAATGCTCTTTTTGTACTACCAAATCGAATTATGTATGGGGTGCTTTTGCGGATTATTGGGATTGTTGGTCACCAGATGTCGTTGACCATTGCTTGCTCATGACACCACCCCGTTCACTTGTTAAACGCTCGTAGATCATTTTGCTTGTTAACTGTCTGCGAACTGCTTCGGCGACGAGTGCGGTTGCCTGTAATATACAAATGTGCCCAAGATGGTGACGGAGCGTTCGCTGAAGCAGTATGTGCTTATTTCGCTTTAACGTGATTCAAAAACCAGATCCCTCCATTGAGATAAGTGGCAAAGGAGAGCCAGGCGCAGTACGGCAGAAGAAGGTGCGTTGTGCGACCGTTCGTAAGGGCGTGCAGAAGACTCTGCGCAGAAGGTAAGAGAAAAGCCAGACGGAGAAGTTGAGGCATACTGTCAAGTAAAACGTCGTCCCGGCAAGAGCGACACTGTCGACGAGGGCCCATCCGATCTAATTTCAGCGTTTAGATATCTTGCGTTGGTAGAGTGAGAGGGAAACGTTTCACCTTCCTGGCGCCGAAGAACAGCGGGCTCCAGAGGCAGTTGAGGGCAAGCTGAGCGTAATAGATGGTGAGCGCAAGGTTCAGACTATGTCTGTGCGTGCCGTGAGTACAGACAAGAGCCTAAAGACGGGACCATACTTTGTAGAGGATAATTGCGCGTCGTCAAGAGCCTGGACAGCAAGATGAGATACATAGCCCATGGCTGTTGGATGGCGTTAGCTTGTTTTACGGTAGTGCGGGTATGTGCGCACAGATGTACAAGGCCGGCCACACGACGGGGAAGACCCAGCGTGGTGGACGAGCAGGAGGAAAGCGAAGACCCTGGGCATATTGACGGGTCAGTTCGACTCGCTATTGTGCGGGGAAAAAAGACGTACCTTGTACCATTTGCCCTGTACAACACGCCTTGTATGGGAGCCGCTGAGCAGGCCGAGTGCGAGGGGTAGCCCAACGGCCGTGATAGAATTGCGCGGGATGGCGAGGAGAATGGAGGGTAGCATTGCTAAGGATGTGTTTTTTCTGGGAGTTCTGATAGGAAAGAGGAAGCTATCGCCTGAGACCTCATTGGGGGCTTTCGTCTGTGACGATCGAGGCTGGAGATCGGGGTTGTTTGGTTGAAAGGGGTCGGTGTTCTTGCCAAACAACGCCTGGATTCACGTGACTGTAGCGATTAGATTGCGAGGTGGCTTGCATAATTGAATGAAGGAAAGTTACACCATGAGACCAGTGGGTGTGATACTACAGGTACACGCCGTCACCCTGCTCCTCCTCCCCGCTCTCACCGACGTCCGCTGGAGGGTCTGGGTCGAGTCCGTTGGAACTTGACCCGAGAGGTGCAACACGGCCGTTTGGACCATTGGGACGAGCAACAGTGGTAGGTGTCGCGGTAGGAGCTGGATCGTAATGGGTGGTGCTACTGCTTCCGCCGTGATGAGTGAGCGCAAGCTTGAGCATGAATATTCGCTCGTCCTGGGAAGCTCTGGGGGAGAGAGGTCAGCGGGGAGGGTAGGTCGATGGAGAAGGCTGACATTGTGGTGTCGTTCTCCTTTAACGCCTGGGCGACCTCCGGATCCTCAGACGGGGAGGCAAGTGATGCTAGATACTCCTTGAGTTCGTCTTGGGTACGCTCGAGATGAGCCATGGAGTTTTGGAGTCGTGCAATTTCTGTATTATCGGTGAGGAATATAAGCCAACGGGAACCGTCCGGAAAATTAAGCAATGAGCACCATCTGAAGTTACGGCAGGATCGAAAAGAATGGCCTCTTCCAAGGAGAACGGCTGAGGATATCGCGGAACAAATTCCATCATCAACGTCAGCGGGGGAGAATGGGGCACCTAATATAAAGCCAGACTGTCCAAGGTTTTGTGAGCGTGTCGATCTGCAAAAATATCAGGCACTGCCAGGAATCGAACCTGGGTTTCGAGAAGGTTTTTGTTTTTTATCTCTTCGCATCCCCTCAGAATCTCGAGTGATAACCGCTACACTACAGCGCCTTTGGAAGATAACAGCATTGACTGTTAAACATGTAGCTGTGATTATCTATATCACATGTTAGTATACGGCTTTACATAGCCAGTTCGGACTCGCTATTGGAACATTCTAGAATCTTAGATATACTTAGATAGTTTCCTGTTACAACTACTGAGAATTAGAGATCAAACTCAATGGCACTATGACCACAGACACTTCAGAGCTACAAGACACAATTGCTTTGAAAAAATATGCTTTTATTGATGCATAGCAGTGAAAACATTCAGGAGGTGGGGCTTGCCAAATAGTGCCCAAAAGCTATTCTAGGGTTAACATTTATCTTATCAGTTGAGGCTTATCTCAAGACAAACTGCTGGTGCATTCAATGATTTCTTCACATTACGTCTCTTCAAGGGCAGACGAGAGTTAGATCAGTTTTTCAAGCAATTTTTCCCCTTCCTTGAGTATGAAAGTTTATGCCCATATTGCCCTGTCACTCCCATCCTTGTGCTTTGCCTAGAAGACCAGGTATTGAAGATGTCACCACCATAGAAGAAATCCTCTTTCCAACAATTGCCCCCACGCACGCTCATGCACTGAGCATCAAAGAAAGCAAGAAAACATTGGCAATTCTTTGTGCAGAGGTCAAGACTGATGACAGCTGGGAAATATCTACCCACCTGGTGCTGCCATATATTGTGTACACAACGCTTCTTTGCCAGTTTGGCCGCAATGTGGGTTTTGCAGGTAGATTATGACCACACTTTGCTGCCCATTATTTGACTGGCACTCACTTCATCAGATGATATAGTGGGATACAATGTTCGACGTGGCACGGGCAATCTCTTTAGCTCAGAGCTCAAACCAGATCAATGTGAGCTTATGATGGCCCACTGCCCAAATTCAGACATGTTCCGAGTAAGTGGTGCCCCCCTTGATTACACAACTTTGCTAACACAAGATAACAGGAGAAATACCAGAGTGAGATGGCCATGTTCAATGTTCAAGGTGTTCGTGAAGGAGCTCAAGATGCAGAACGCCTGGCACTGATGGTGGTCAGTCATTGCCAGCTTTCTCAATCAATCTGTAATATACTGAAACAACCACACAGGAATCTGCATGTCTGTCAAGGGGTATGGACCCAAATGCAACCACCAGTATAACCCCAGAGGAGAGAGGGGAGCTCCTGGCAGAGCCTGTCCTTGTGAAAATGTGTGAAGACCACAAGAGGGTAAGTACATCAATTATCATCTATATATCCATTTCACCTTTTCTACAGCTTCTCTCTCGTGTGATGGACCTTAAAGTAGAGCTAGAAAACTGCAAGGATGAGGATATTGAGGCTGAACTCAAAGCTGACCTCACTGCCACAGTCAAAACTGCTGCTGGGTTTAAGGCCAAACACATGTCAATGTTGGAACGTGAGACCAGACTTTGTGTCAGCCTAGCACAAAAAAAATACTTTCAAACTGCATCTTATCATGAACCACTTGGTCAGGTTAGTGCTCTATGTTATGTCACTGTGAATTTCACTCATCTTACTGCAGTGACTCACATTGGAGAAGTCCCCCATGAGAACTGCATCTAGCACGTTGACTATACTACATTGGCAGCATCACCACCCCTTGCAACCCTTGCAACATGCATTGCTCAACCGATTCACAACAACAAATGCTGCTTCCCTTCTACCTGGCAAGGAAAACCAGGATCCCATAGCTGGCCCTTCAATGGTTGACCCTTCAACGACTGGCCCTTTGATGGCTGACCCTTCAACCACTAGCTCATCAACAGTTAATGTGTCAACAAGCACCATTCCATCACACCACAACAATGAACTCATTGTTGCGCTCTTCGGTGACATTGTGAACATGGACAGACATGCCACCCTTACCTATGCCATCAACACTACCATGGGACTAGCCCAGCAACATCAAGCATTAAGCTATCCTGGTGAATCCCCCTTGTACGATGGAAAGTGCCCAGTGTGCAACACCAGGTAACTGAACACATCCTGTCCCCAACATGTCCAACTGACCAGGTTTGTTCAGTAAAAACAGCATGAGAAAGGGTGTAGCCAACCATATTCATGAGTGCTGCACATGTAAGGAAGAAAAGAAGGCCTGTGAAACTGCTGACAATGACTTTTTGCCACAGCAGTGTGACTGGATGCATTGTCCAAAGTCTAGCATCATGTTTCAAAAACACGACGCTTTCCTCAAACACTTGCAAGGCCACATTCAGAGAATGCATAACCCAGAACTTCTGGGGAACGGTCAATCACTCTGTAAATGGGAAGTATCCACTGATGAGCGCTCAATGCAGTGCAGAGGACTGCAATGACTGGGATGCCCATTTTGCATTAGAGCATAATATCAATACACAATTGCAGCCCAAAGTTCACTTTTGCTGTATCTGCTGTGAATGGTGGGTGTTTTGCTTTGCATTCAACTCATTAATCACCATCTTTTTGCAGGTTTCATGATCAACTTGAAGACGACAACCATTGGGATAAACAATCGCAAGCCCACTTCAATGATCTTTTTGCGCAGTTCCACGAGCATGCCAGCCTGATTGACATTCAGCCCATCAACATTATGATCCTTCCTGACATCGATAATTGTATAGAATTCGAGTGTGGGGAAAGCTTCCATGGCAAGCTTCCCGAGTATCATGACCACGTTGAGGGTGGGGTTGTATTCACACCCATGATGTGCCCATGGTGTGTACACGATGAGAAGTTGTCTATGGGTCTGCGTATGAAACAGTAGGTTTTTCATACTTGAACAAACACAATTACTCAACACCAGCTTGCAGCGCTTTCATTCTCACCTACTCACACACAAGACCGCAATCACTGGAGTCTCTGCCTGCCCTGTACCTAGCTGTGGTACCCGTGAGTTTTCCGAGTACAACCTTTTCTACCACATGGTCACTGTACACCACATCAGCTTGTGCAGTTCAGTGAGGTCAAGAGTACAGCATCTGAAGCTTCCAATTGCACCATTTGAATCAACTCACGGACACATCAATCTTTACCCAGAAGGTGAGAGTATGGCAACGATTTCTCAGGCTCCTACTCAACTCACACCACCATCTGGTGCCCTCACTCTGCCTGTGGAGCACCTCGACATGGACATGGAACACGCCAGCCAGCCAGATTCAAACAATGCTGGAAATATCAAAATTCAAGGCAGGAAAAGCAACAGATTGACAAGGTGAGGCTAATGCCAAATTAATGTACACAGTTCTGATGAGAAAATGGAAAACAGGCAACATTCTGTTGTTTAGGTTGCTTCAAACAGTTCCAGGATATCAAGAAGCACATATTCAACGCAAAACCCAGCTCAAGATGTCTTAAAAAATCTGCTTATATCCGCCGTGAAGCAGGTTGTGATGTGGGTGAACGAGTAGCATGGGTAGAAGCGACATTGAGTGTGAGTTTTCATTTTTGGCTGCTGACATTTGCACACAATCTGACTCAGTATACCTAGTCCAAAGAGTGTTTGTCCAAAGGCAATCACATGCATTGGTGTGGAGTCTGCCGGATCAACTCCACGAACATACGCGAGCACATCAATGACTGCAACTGCACCTGGTTCAAGATATGTGACAAGAACATGACATGGAATCAATGGGGTCCACACTACAACCGCGCACAATGGAATGAAGAAAACCCTGCCCCTGCAATGTGAGTGCAGAGCATTGGTACCGTCACTGGAGTTGCACGCTTGGAGAAATATTGGGCTATATTGGAATTGACGCCTAGCAGAGAGGCCTATGGAGAATACATGCCCGAATCCCCCTTCCTCCTTGCTGTTCTCATGTCGTGGACCCGTCTTCCCCCCATTCATCGCATTTGTTACTCCCTCCTTTCAAAATCTATCGCCTACCTTGGATTACCACTCGCGTCTTTGGAAACAACGCTCCTTATCTCTCATTTGATGAGAAATACAACACTCCTCCTCCCAGATGGATGATTAACTCACAGATCATTCCTGGAGTCCCCATTCGGTCACCTGACTCAGTGGAGATGTCATGACTCAGACAATAGGAGGCAGCACAATTTATTGGTCAGGACGATTTCTAATCTCTTATATTTTTGGACTTGTGATTATTCATCTCTTTTCCTTTATCTTTTTTTTATTTTATTACTGGACAATTGTTCTTGCTTATTCAGACATTCCTGTGTCGCTCATCCAGCTTTCACTTATCTTTAGACTAGAATTTTTCATGTGTTATTGTCTCTATTTATGGATTGTACTGCTTTGTGCTGCTTTCCTTATTCATTGCTTACTTTCCTTTCTCGCATTAGTCGTTTGCTTACTTTTCGCTTACTACCCCTATCCTTTAGAGGCGCTTTTGCTCTCACACTTCACTTTTGTCTTACTCATCCTACCTTTGCATAGCCCATTCCAAACATTCACGCACAGGGACTCTTGTAGTATAAAAACCTCTGTACTTTAGCTACCCTCAATCAAGCTTTTACCCTTGATTCACTATGTCCACGTCGATTTTCTGAAGTGTCCAAGTGCCTTACGATTAGGCATCCAGATTGGCCTTCAAATACGTCAATATCCAGTCTATATACGTCTACAGTTCATCACATTTCAATTTATCAAGTCCACGGTTCATTGTATCACAGTCTGTTGGTCACTCTGGTGATCAACATTGCTCTATATTCACTCTCAAACCTGCTCTTGTCGACTGACAGAGTAGTGCTCCTCTAAATCTCTCCCTTGGAATCTCTTGGTTATAGTCAAGTGTAGCCATTCCACTACAAACAATCAGGCTGCCCGACCGATCTCTGTTGTGTGTTCCGTCAGAGTCAGGGGTGTTGGTTTTGTGTTTGTTCTAGCACAAGTCCACATCAAGATTGACACTGTTCTGTCGAGGGGCGTTGAATGCAGGATGAGGGAGAGAAAGTGGGAAAGACTGTACACACCTTCAATGATTATTGATGAAACCTTGAACATGCACTTGCCGCATGTTTTCGGCATTGTTTTGGCGTGTTCCTGCACAGCAAAATGCGTGGACCTGATGACGTGGTGATGGGACGTGATGACACAATGATTATGGTTGGCCGCGCAATTGAGTGACGAAGTTGAATAACTAATATTACTCACCGGTGTTATGGTGTAGGGGACTAGCACTTGAGATTCTGAAGCCTATGTATTCTCAAAACCCAGGTTCAAATCCTGGTAACACCTGATTTTTATTTATTTTTAATCCCCAAAAAGGAAATCCCATGATGTAGAATTTATGGCGGAGGCAAACTAGACCAGAATCTCGAGTGATAACCGCTACACTACAGCACCGTTGGAATTTAAGAGCTTCAACAAGGTCATCAATGCATGGCGTGATCATTGTTATAGACAAGGCCAGGAATTTAAGTTGGTGTAAGCATGGTGCTTACCTGAGTTCCTATAATCAGCATAAATACTGCCAGCGATTCTGAAACTTAACTTTCAGAATTATCGCCTTTTGGCGTAACAGTTGTGTGGCTGGCAGACATGACAAGGTTACAGTTGGCTCATTTTACCAACAATTGTAGTTGTTGCCAAGAAGCGACCCAAAGGCACTTGTACTATGTTTTGTGTGGGGTCTGTGTGGGAGGCGCGGGGGAAATTCAAAACTCGACATCATCAAAGGCGATATTTTGGTCAGCATGGCAGTAGCATGCTGACTCCACGATCACATCAAGCACCAAGCTGCTACGAAGATGCCGCAGACAGGGTTAACCTCAATGGTGTCTTTGAATGCCCAGTTGCGTTGTTCAAAGGCGACATTGATCGATCTATATGGTCCCAAGCCGGAGTTATAGTCGTGGCATGTATCATTGCATGTGCCCTGGTCGGCAGGGTGGTGTCAGCTTCCAGGTGCTGACTTTCCATCGGTTATCGAACTTATGTAAAGATGTGAAGGGGTCAAAGACGACACCATGCGACACCATGCAACCTCATGTTGATGTCACAGCTTGGTCACGGGGGAGGCCCATGGGATATTTTATTACTTTTACATGGCAATTGTCGCCAATAACGCGCGCTACCTGGTAGTACACAAAGTAAATGCCACTGCGGTCGTGAACAATATGATGACGGGTACTGGCTGTCATATCCCGTGCAACCACGCGCCCTCATATCCCATTCCGGTTCTATTCCGCACGTTTCCGCACCACTCCGATCTTTCCGTCTAACAATTGTTGGACTTAGCGTTTTCTAGACTCGTCGTTCCGCCTC